ATGCACACACAGATTGCTTATACTGGATTAGCGAATCTCATTCATTGTGATGCTTGAAGTGTAGTAACATGTAGAAAAGGGTGGCTGTTCATGGTGAAAGAGGGAGCGGCCCCAGAATACTTGAAATCTATTATATATGTACCAGCAGGGAATCTCAAGATTCATGGAAGGAGTGTGTAACTCACTGTTGTACTGTTCACTCATTTCTTCACCTCCCCTTCCTGCCACTCTGCCACCCCTCCCTCCGTTTCATGCCTTCCTGCAACTCTATGGGCCCACCCAGCTATCTGATGGTGAGTCTGAAGGTGAAGGGGGGGGGCTAGCTGCAGAGGCTCCAGTTCACCCACCTGCCTACTTCCAGCACCTCTGCCTCAGTGTGTGCAGGGAGGAGAAGGCTCCTGCTTACCTCTCCCTGCACCAGGCTGCCGTGGAGTTCTTTTTTAGAAAAAACACCACCACCATTCCTTTGTGAAGATTTGAGATTTTTCTGCAAACATAGGGGTGTCCTCAAGTTTGGAGGGGGGGGGAAATCTCCCCTCAAGAGTTCCATTTATTTCTTCTAGTGGCTACTTTATTTTTTTCTGGAGTGGGTTTATCAGTACTCTATTACCCAGATGTACTGTTTTTAAAATATGGCAAAGAGAGAACCACTGTAATATATCTTAGTTATATGTATTTTATTAATGTTAATATGTAACAATATGTGATACTACTGTATAATGTTATATTGGGCACTACATACAAACAGTAAAGTCTTGAAACATAGAATAACAACATTAAGCTGATGTAAAATAAAGTTCAGTTACATTTTACAGCTTCTATTCTGCTGTTTTTAAAGAACAGTATAAAGGTTTTTTTCTGTTATCATAACCCTTGTAAAAGTAATCAGGTGGGGGACAACCCCCTGTGATACTGTGTCACCTGCAACCACTAGTGGTATAATGAATTGGGGCCCTATGCTCTGTGGTGGATGTGCAAGCAGGGCAAGACGGGGGAGTGCTTAGTGGCTTTCCACTTAGTTCAGTGGGCGTGCTTCAACTTACACCACCTCTTTTGCTAACTCTGTATTATGCCATTGATGTGGGCAGGACTGAAGTAGAATGAAGAATAGGATACTGACTAAATCCTGCTTCCCTTAACAGCCATCCACCACCACTAATTCCTGGACTCACCAAGGTAGGGCCAAAATAACTATAGTGCTTACTGGCATAGATTCCAAAAGTCAATCAAGTGTTTCTTTAGGATCCACTGATCCTAAAGAAAGCATTTAGTTGGTATCACATATTCTTCAAGCTAGCATTGTGCAGGATGGGATTGCATTGCTAGTGTATGTCATCAAATTTTACCTTTTGTCTTAAAAGTGAATATAATATAAAGGCGCTCAGGTTTCATTTTGTTTTACCTTTTCGCACTTTCTAATAAGTTAAGGCTTGTTATTATAAGAAATCTAATGTAATCTTTAAAGTTAAACTCTAATTTGTTGGATAATTCCAGTCTTATCTTAACCAGTTTTATCAAACTTGGATTTCAAGAAAGCTGTAATATAAGGTGTTCCATCACTTTATTAACCAAGATTGCATAGTCATATTTAGTAAGGAATGTTAAATGGATATGGCTGAACCTTAAAAAGTCCTAGAGGATGCTGTATTGGATGCTGTAAAGGAGAATTGGGAGAGAGCAGGGGCAGAAATTGAGGCTATGTATGTATCTCAAATTTCCAACACATATCCCTAATTCTAGGATACTAATGCTGCTAGGGTCTACTTTCATTTTAGCTTTAAAAGTCCCAAACAAAGCACTTTTCCTTGAAACTTAATTAATTCCTCTACAACAATTACGCTTCAAATTGTTCAGGGCCTTTAAAAGATTTTAGCACCAGGACTTGGATGCCTGTACATGGTTCCATTTTGCTGCCTTATTGATAAGACAATGGGCCATCAAGTTTGTTAGAATGAATGACAGATACTGTATGAGAGGACCATTC